AGAGAGAGAGAGAGAGAGTTTACACACATTTACATACAATGAGATCAAAGACAACTATGCACATTTAAGTTACCAAGGACATTGTATTTGTGCTGTTATTAATGAACAAGTGAAGAAAGTGCTCAGTTCGGTATGTATGCACATAATGTACTCGGCTACACAAATGGAATGCACCCTAATTTATCAAAGGTGACAGTGCACTTAAACCCTTTCTGAACAAATTACCCAACACATCTTTACAAACCTTTAATCGTAGCTAATGGAAAACAAAAGAGCACCAACAACCTGAATGTCTGAGGATATGTGTGTGAATTGGTGTGTGCCTGTGCCAAGTGTGTTCCATCTTTTTTTTTTTTTTTCACACAGGCACACACACACAGACACAGCAATGCTCTGAGTACATACACATGCAGTACACTCTCTGAATACTAGACTCCCTGGTTGCACCAGGTCATCAATTGGCATTTGTAGATACCAGCAGTGAGATACAATCAATTTCACTTATACTTGCTGTGCTTACTTCTTCACATTTTTTTGGGTAATTGTAATTGGAATGAATGGCTTGTCAGACTTAATAATGGGCATTGTTAGCAGCCCTGAATGCAAAAAGCCTGATGTGAATGCATTAACACAAAGATGGAACATCAACTTCTTTGTGTGTGCCTGCAAAAACATCCCCAGAAAGTTGGTAGGGGAAAGGGAGGCCAATGGTATCAAACTCTTTCACTTTTAAAAACTGAAGAAATTCCTCCCCACGCAAAAAAGGAAAACCTGAGAGCAAAGTGATTTTTAATGTGAACTAAGTGCTGTTAAATTATAGGGAGAAATTTCCATGCCAACCAGACTGCAATTTCTGTCATATTGCTATAATATTATTATATATTTCTGTGTGGTAACTTAGACATGAAAATAGTCCAAGATTTGTGGAGCTGATGTTTTATTAGCATATGCTGTACTTGCCTTAGGATAAATGATCACACTCTCATTGACACACACAGAACCTCAGATGCGGCAACTCAGCCACACACACACACACTCTCAGGGTCAAATATGTTATGCTGTAGAGCTGTGTGTGATCATCAGAGTGAGACTAGCTTAATGAGTTTGGGAAGCCAACACAGTTTTAAAGATTTACAGCATGAGCCAACCCACCTACCACCAAATGCACCATAATGACCATTAGGCAAATAAGTATCTTACACACACACACACACACGCGTTAAACTAAAACACTATTATCTGCCTGTCTCTCTGTCTGTCTATCATCTATGTGCATGTATGTCTGTACTGCCTTTTAAAATCAAATGCGCTATAACTGCAAGGATTCTGGTGGGAGAAATACCAGTAACTAAATTTCTCCTAACAAATACTATTAATATAGTTTTTAAGACAATACTATCCATAATGTGTCTTCTTGTTAAGTATAAAGCTTAACTAGAATGTAAATGTTAAAATAACTGGGGAGAAGTCCGCAAGTAATCTTATCTTCCATCCAAAGTTAAATCACTTGATTGGAAATTTACACATAAATAAGTGTTGCTTACTAGCAGGCACATCTGGTAGTGTTGAAGTAATCTCACTTTAATCTTAATGTTCTTGGGGGAAAATAAAAAAAAATATATAAATCTTAAGTCTATCAGACCTCTACCAAGATTTAAAAGATTCAGAATTGTATTTTATTAGATGTTAAGAGTTTTCTTATGTTGTGCAAGTTAGTCTGGAAATGATGACCAACTTGATCTCTGAAAATCTTGTTTTATGAAAACTTGAGCGTGGGCTAAGCAAACATCAAATGCCTGTACTCAGTCCATCCCGTGACCCAGAACTAAGCACCCACATGATGCCGCTCAGGCGATCTCTATTACCTCACATAACAGCTTGAATCCCCAGTGGATCATTGTAATTGACATAACAGGCGGCCTAAGTGTTAAAGAGCTCTCTAGATTTACACCAGACTATCCCCACTGAGAGACACAAGCAGAGAGGTATCGATGACATTGACCACCTCTGACCCTATGTTTACTCCCCGGCTGATACCCACCTGATCAATAAGCACTTGCATGCTTGGAAGTTTCGTAAAACACACATGCATTTCCGCAGTGACACGCATGTCAGATGAATTAAATATTCACACACGTGCAGTTGCACCCCATGATAACACTTTAGGAAAAGCTTATTTTTTTACATATTCATGAGGAGTTCATTTATTTATTTATCTAGTATCATTTTATTTTAAGCCTGTCAAAGAAGTGATTATTGGTCTTTTTTCTAGTTTTATATATAAAATATTTGACATAACCCAGAAAGGTATATAACAGTTAGGATATACAGAACTGTAAAACAAAAGTGTGTTTGTTGAGAGATTACAGAGGATGGATAAAGTAACAGGAACTCCTCGCAAAGCAATGCTGTCCAATGCAAAAATATTGCAGACTACCTTCTACAAATGGCCAGGGTTGAATTAACACTTCCACAATAGTCTAATTAAAGTGCCCATTATAAACCTAGCAAAGACTGGCTGTATTGCAAGGCTGCTAATTTGGACTACATTGTATCTTGCCTGCAATATTGTCCACACCCTATATACAGTATATTTTCAAAAACATATTTTACAAATAAAGAACAATGAAACCTACAAACGGACACCTATGTGTATACCTACTTTTTTTTTTTTTGTCTAAATAATCAAAGCATGGAAAAATGTCTGTCCTTTTATGTCAGAAACTTCAAACACAAAATAACCACCATCTTTAAATGCAACTGAAAATGTAAACAGCGCAACCACACAAACACAACATTGTTTTTTACTATTCTTGGAGCTAACATAATACCTTGCATTAAATATAGCCTGCAGTCTACAAGACAAGCGTTGGATTCCAGCTGAGGTTGTCATACAGTCCCAGTGGCCTCCAAAGTCTCATCCACTCTCTGTCTGTTCTTAATGGCTCTTGCAACGTCATGCATATCTACCGCTGCATCAGTAAGATCCAAAATAAGTAAAGCCTGTGAGCTCTCACAAGCCAGTCTCTCGCTCTCTCTCTGACTCTCTCTCCCTCTGTATGTGTATGTGTATATTTGCTGTCTTTCTCCACAAAACCTATGAATTTGTCAGCTTTGTGCGGGATAAAATGAAGCAGACAGAATTAGGTGAGGTGATAGGGACTCTCTGCCAAGAGAGAGGAAAGAAAGGGGAGGAGTGGGGGAGAAATGGGTATGCTACATGCCTAACAAATGATCACAGATTCAGAGCTCCCCTTGGTGGCATCTGGTAGTACTACAGTTGTGCGTGTGTGGAAAGTGGTATGTGTTTGAAGAGATTGGCTAATCCCTGTGGTGTACATTTGATAGGCAGGCAAGGACACTTGCCTTGACCTGTCTTCGGTGCAAGTCTCTCCCCGCACTACACACACATCCCCTCCCATTCTATCCCATTCAGTGCACACACTGGTTAGCATAAGCAGTAAGGGATCACCTCCCCCTCCCTCTGGTTTGCCTGACATGATGATCTACCATCATAGACATCTTGTAGATTTCTGCGCTGGTGACCATCCTCGCCCTTTCCCTCCACAGGGATCACACAAAGAGGGAAGGGCAAAGACAAAGATGGAAACCCTCATGCCAGGGTGTCTTGGGAAATGATATCCAATATACTGCACCAAAGCAGAACACATTGTGAAAATAGGTCAAAAATGTTGTGTGCAGTGACACTCTAGTCAGGATGCATCTAGCAGTTAAGACCCTTGTCTTGGATGCACAGCTGATATATTAAGTAAATAAAGTACTCATCCTCTACTGTACTGTATGTTAGCGGGTATTGATTTTATGATCCCAGTCTAATTTTCCAAGAAGCTCTGCAGAGACATGGACTAATCCACACACTACTGTATTACTTGCAGAAATTATTTTTAGCATTGACAACTGGAAAAATCAGCCACAGATCCATTGAAAATACCTTGGACAGAAACTAAAACCACTGGCGCCTGTGTTATTATGTTCTAAGCCATTACTGTTATTACAGTTACTCAAAGTCAATCAATCAGTTTGTGTCTATTGCAGAAAAGCAGTTGAGCAAGGGCATATAAGGTAGAGGCTGATTCTTGATGAATATCTGGTGGCTAATGTATTGCCTTTAAATATTAGATATCATATACTGGTTCGGATATCTTTGCCAGCAGTGAGATGGGAGCATCAAATAAAAGACCTGACAGTAGTCAGGATATTTATTTTTTATTTTAGCAGCTTTCTCTTCTGGTTCTTACTCAGTATTTCCATAGCAATAAAGGTTCAACCAGCAATCCGAGCAGTATCACACCCAGCAGAGTAACTGTCCTGTATCTGGAACCCCACTCAGTTGTAATAAGACACTGAGGTGTAGTTACTGTTGTGGTTAATATTCTTCCAGTCCAGCCAATTTCAAGAATGAGTCCAAGTAACATGATTATTTTCCATTCTGTTTGTCAGCTTTTATTTAATTTAATTTTCCTGTTGATTAAACTGCAGATCTGTTAGTGCAGATCTTCAATGAAGATGCAAAAGAACTAAGCTAGGACTTTGCAGTCAACAATGCAGAAGGCAGACAGTCAGTGCATGATTTAAACATGCGTGTACATAATGCTGGTTTGAGCAGAGCTCCATTAATTGTAGAAAATCCGTTTTGGCCATTACTACTCCATAATGTAGTGGAACATTCATGAATAGGGGATAGTTTAACCTGGCTGCTCTGTAGTTGACAGTAATGTAACTTTTGTAGTGGTATTTGTTCGACTCATTAATTCGCCTCTATAATATTGTCAGTGGTTTGGTTTTTGTCCATTGTTTGTTGAAATTAGAGCAATGCAATGCCAGGAAAAAAAGCTTGATGCCATGCTTTCGATCTGTATTCTGGAAAGATAGGAATACA